AGTCGCGCCCTCCCTCGAGCGGGTGGACCTCGCCCAGAGTCCTGGAACCGGAGAAACCGGTCTGGGTGCTGCTTCTGGGCTGATCCCGACCTGCGGCCCGGCCCTTTCCCAGATCCAAATAGGCCGAACTGGGGCACTCTTCTCTTGTGTCCTACATAGCCGGGCAGAGGAGACGGGAAAGGGGACATCGGGATGGGGGACACGACTAGAGCTGTCCCTTACTTACTCTCTTGCAGGGCGATCCTCTCTGGGCCTCAGTTTCCCCATCTGTAAAAAGTGGAAGTTAATAGGAAAGACCCCAAAGGAAGGTTGCAAATGCATCTTTATTCACAAAACGCACCTGATACGCTCAGTTCCTGCCCCCGTGGTGGAAGATGACAGGCTAGAAGAGGAGACAAACCCAGAAACAAAAGTAAAATCACAGTTGTGATAAATCTCACCAAAAATGAAAAAATGTTTTAAAGTAGCTCTTGTTCTGAGTGTCAATAAATATAGGGGTCTTGGGCCAAAATGGGAGCAGACAGGTGACACTTCACTGAGGATTTGCCCCTTGAGCTGAGCTGCCTTAACTAGGTGAACAAGGAAGTGAAAAATCTCCAGGAGGAGGTCACAGCCTATACAAAGGCCCGGTGGCTGGGTAGAGTGTAGGAGTATGAGGAACAAAAAGCACGTCAGTGTGGCTGGAGGGTGATGCAAGATTATGCCAGAAATGGGCTGGGCCCCCATCAAGCTAGGCCTTGCAGACAATGGTAGGAGTTTCGTCCTTCTTCCAGAAACAGAATTTTCTAAACTCTGGGACAGTGTGGCAAAATGATTCAATGTTATTTAAATAGCATGGAACGAACCCCTCGGTTTCTCTCTTTTCAGCTTTTATCCTTCTCAGCCCAAGGATAGCTCCTTCCTCTGGTAACAATGTGTCTTTGACACTGGCTAATCTGTCATGGTAACTCACTGGCTACTGTTTCAGCAGGATCATATGACATTGTTTTGTTTTCATTGTAACTTCTTAAAAGATTACTTTCTAAGTAAGGTGAGTGATTAACAAGAGGGTTAAGTCAGAGAAAAACATTAGGTAGATAATAGCACAATTAGCTTAGCTGGGCCAGGTAGCTTGTGCCTATAGTCCCAGCTACTCAGGAGGCTGAGGCAGGAGGATCGCTTGAGGCCAGGAGTTGGAGGCTGCAGTGAGCTATGATCACACCTGTGAATAGCCACCGCACTCCAGCCTGGAAAACATAGTGAGACCCAGTCTCTAAAAAAAAATTAATAATAATAGTACGGTCATTATGAAGATATCCCAAATATCCTGACCCTCAACCATCTGAGCTTTGGGGAATTCTATTCTAAGAGCCATGGGAAAACCATTGATTAAATGAGATGATAAATATTAAGCACTTAGCACCTGTTTACCTGAGACAACCTCGTTCACTCATTCAGGCTTGGGCATGGGGGCACTGGTGGAATTGACATTTGAGTTGGGGTGTGGATGCTAAATAAAATATATCATTGCAGGCAGGGAGAAGTGCTATGTTAGATCAGGCAGCCAAAGAAAGATTCCCCAAGGAAGTGACATTTCAGTAGAAACCTGAAGAAAGTGAGGATTAACTTGTGGGAGGCCAGGAGAACAGCACTGCAGGCAGAAGAAATGGCAAGTGCAAAGGCCCTGGGGCCGCAAGACACTTGGAGTATTCTGAAAGCAGAAGGGTCAGGGTGGATGGAGCGGAGGGGAACCCGGATTAGTGAAATGATCCAATTTGTGTTGTATAGGTCAATGCAGCTGTTGTACAGAAATAGATTTTGGAGACAAAAGCAGGGGGGAGGTCACCACACTAGTAAAGGTGAGAGGTGATGGCTGCTTACAACAGAGTAAGTGGTGAAGGTGGGGGAAGGCTTGGAGTGGGGTTACAGGTCGAGCTGACAGCACCAGCTGCTGGAGCAGGTCTGAGGAAGGGAGAAATAGTCGGGAGGATCTCTCAACCGGAAGGCTGCCATTACCATTGATACAGAGGATAGGGTGGCAGGAAACATGGAGAATCCTCTTTGGCTCCTGTACATTTGGAATACCTTAGACGCCCTCGAGGAGACATCAGGAGAGAGGGGCTGCTCAAGGAAGTCTGGAGGTTGCAGGAATGGTTTCAGGACTAAATTTTCAGCTAAATTTGGGAAGGTCTGTAGAGGGATGGCATTTATTTATTTATTTTTGGAGACAGGTCTCACTCTGTCACCCAGGCTGGAGTGTAGTGGCATGATCATAGCTCACTACAGCCTCCAACTCCTGGGCTCAAGCGATCCTCCTGCCTCAGTCTCTTGAGTAGCTGGGACTACAAATGTGTGCCACCATGTCCAGCTAATTTTTCTTATTTTTTTTTATAGAGATGGGGCCTCGCTATGTTGCCCAGCCTGATGTCTTGAACCCCCGGGGCTCAAGTGATCCTCCCGCCTCCGCCTCCCAAAGTGCTAGGATTACAGGTGTGAGTCACCGTGCCAGGCCTATACTTGTATTTCTGTATGTGCTTTTAAATGTCCAGCGCTGTTACCACCCTAAGTGCTAACAATAATAAAATAATAACACACATAACATTTTCGGCGTGCCAGGCACTCTGCTGCATGCATGATCTCACTTGAGTCCTACAAGGAGGCAGGGACTTTCATTATCCCCAATTTACAACCAGGGAAACTGAGGCCCAGAGAGGTGAAGTGACTTGCTCAGGGCTGAACAGCAGGTGTGTAGAGCTGGCCATCTGGCTCTGGAAGATGTACTCCTTACCCCACAACTTCTACAGCTGGCCTTTGTCACTCACGCAGGGTTCTGAGTTACCTGTGTTGCCTGTGTGTGTAGATCTGTCTGTCTGGCTCCGCCTTTTATCCTCCGGGGAGTAGCCACCCATAGTCCACATTGGACTGGTCGGATGGGCATGCAGGCTGTTTCCAGTTCGTGTCAACTTGGTACAGTGCAGCAAACACCCTTCTGGAGCCTCCTCTTGCAGGCCTGGGGTTCCCTGGGGAATCTCCTGGTCATGGGATATGTGACCTTTTTAGTTTTCACAGCCATTGTGCAAGAAATTACTCCACGCTTCATCAGTGGGCTTTGTTGTTACAAGTTTTCAATTCTGCTTATTCTTGTGGGTCAAATGGGGTCTCGGAGAGGGGTATAGTTTAAGGGGATGTGTGTGTAGGGTGCCTGTTCCAGCCGGGTCTTCTCTGCCATCACCTCCAGGCCCCAGCCCCCGTGGTCGGGCACCGGAAACCCCAAGGCGGCCCGGGGCGGGGGCGGTGGTCGGCCAAGCCGCTTCCCGCGGAAGGAAGGGCCCGGCGGTTCCTGCGACAGGATGCGCGGCGAGGCCCCCTCCCCAGCCGCTGGGGACTTCCCGGGGCCAGTCTCGTAGCGGAGTAGCTGCGATGCGGACGCACCGAGCTACCGTCTGGGGTGTGGGGCTCCTGTGCTCCCCACACCCCTGTCCCACGTCCCCTTGGGGACTTCTGGGTTGGGACTCAGAGTGGGTGGTGCTAAAACTCCCCTACGTTTTCCTGGAAGGAATCAGGCGGCCCCTCCACCCTACCCTCCTCCCCTCGGGCCTCGGGGTCAGGTCCCCCGAGGGTCACGGGACGCCAGCGCCGGCCCAGCCAGCCGTCGGGGGGCGGGGCGGGCGCTTTCCCGGCGCCACCATTCCCCGCACCTGCGGCTCCTTTGTCCTCTCAACAGTCCTCCTCCCCTCACCCTGGGGCAACGCCCACAGCCCCTCTCCTAAACCAAAGTGGGGGAAACAAGAAGGGTTTTTCCTCTCGGGGTGGCTTAATTTGGAGCTGGGCGTGACCCAAGCAAATAACTAGGGTTCTCACGGGCATTTGTAAACCTAAAGCTAGGTGGGAAAGCTGTTTAGAGGCCTATTTCACAGGTGAGGAAACTGAGGCTGGGAGCTCACCTTCCAGCCTGAGCCACACAGCTACACTTCCGGAGATTGGAATTGGGGCATTAAGGGCACTTAAAAGCTGACCCGCTCAGCTCCACCCCAGGCTATGGGACTCCCACCAGAGCTGACTCGGTTGGTCTGGGGTGGGAGGGTGCGTGGGGGGCAAGATCCGCCACCTTTCAAGGTTCCAAAAGAGGCGTGGTCCCCAACTCCGCTAGGGGCACTGTACCTGGCAGTATCTCCCCAAACCCCTAAACTCAGAAAACCCTCTTCTCCCACCCCCCCCCGAGTTATAGAGGAATTTCGAGGGAACCCCCAGACCTCAGGGGGTTAACGGGGAGTCGAGTGGAGCGCCACCAGCACGGAAGTGTTGAGGCGAAGAAAAGGGGGCCTAGCCCGCTCCCGCCCACGTGGTAACCGGTCTGACCGGTTCCTGGGGCCCCAGCGAGTCGCCGCCAGCGCCTGACCCTTTAACCCTGCCCCTCCCCCACCAGGGAAGAAAACCAGACAGCCGACTTTTTACTCAAACGGTCTTTATTTTCCTAGCTGACATTTCTAACAAAACGCCAGGTAGACGGAGTTAAAAGAATCCACGACTGGAAAGGTAAACAGATCGTCAGAAACTCGCTGGCAAGAATTTCCCCACTCCCAAAACTGGCCCAGTGTCACCGGTAACTGGTCCCAGCTTAACCTTACAGTGCTTTGAACACCCCCTCCACATTTTCGGGATTCAGACCAGGAACGTCTGGGTTAATTGTGTCCGTGTGTCTGAGGGAGGATCACGCTTGAGACTGGGAACATACTCGCCACCTCTAACGCACCAGATGAGAAAATTTTGAATCTAAAACTCTCCTGCTCCCACCCGAAGGCTCAGGGGCACGTGGCACTAACCAGCAGCGCCCACGAACAAAGTGACTCAGGCCACTCTCCTCCCACTCCCCAGGGCAGGTCCACACCCCAGACCCTCCCAGGCCCCACACCCACGCAAGGAACAGGAAGCTCCCCACGTCTGCCCCATGACGCAACGATGACCGCTTGCACAAGTATGTCAGCGGCGGGGGAAGGGGAGTGCGGGGAATTCTCAGAGGCTGGAAACGCAAACACCGACTATTGAAAACCCTTGAAGGGGCAGCACAGCCCCCAGTAAAAAACAAAGTCCGACCCTGAGGAAATTAAAGAACCAAGCCTCCCTTCTCCCAGTCCGGAAGGAGAAGGAAAGGTCCACGTCCCAGTCCGTTAAGACAGCACCTGTGGGCGCGGCAGGTCTCGGCGGAAGGCGCCCGCGCCCCTGGCTCAGGTTCCTCGGTGCCGTCGCTGCACACAGAAGGCGACGGCTCCCCGGGGGCAGAGTCCCTCTCCGGGCCTCTTCAGCAGCCCGGGCGGCGGCTTCTCTCCACGGTTTCCGCGGGCGCTCCCCCGGGGGTGGGCCTCGCCTCGGGTCTGAGCACTTGGGTCAAAGGTTGGACCCGCGCTCTGGGCTCCGGTAGCGCCGCTCGGGGTCTTCAGAAGGCCACCACGGCCCGCACGAGCACGTTCAGCATATTGTCCGCCGGGCGGCAGGCCGGCTTTGCCTCGCACGCGGGCGGCGCCGTCGGGGGGGCCGCGGGGCTGCAGTTCAGGAGGCCGGAGAAGCGCCTCTGTAGGACGCGGGCCAGGTTGGGGAAGGCGCCCTCCGCCTGCGCCGGAGAAGGCTGCAGGCGATCAGGGACCTCCGGAGACGCCGCCGCCTCCTCCTCTTCTTCCTCCAGACGGGCTTTCTTGCTTGGGACCAGTCCGACGTCCCCTCCGTCGCTCAGGCTGCTGCTCCGCCGCTTGCGGCTGACTTTGGCGGGGCGCGGGCCTCCCCGGGGAGGGGCCTCCTCGGCTCTGGGCGCCTCCTGCGTGTCCATGGGCTCCGGGGAGGGCTGCTCACCGTCGAGGCGCGCTGCCTCGGCTTCGGCTTCCCGCGGCCGGTGCAGGCGAGGGTCAGGGGAGCGGGCGGGCTGCAAGGACACCTCGGGCTCGTGGGCCTCCACCTTGGCAGAGAGGTAGAGCTCCCGGGCGCTGCGCATGACCAGCGACAGCTGCAGACTCCGGTGCAGCCGCAGGCCACCGCGCTGCATGCGCGAGTGGTACATCTTCCAAACAGACAGGGTCATGATGCGTTGTGCCTCCTTCTGCACCTCCATAGCGGCTCGACGGTGAAGGCGACAGGGACTCCCGGGATGGACAAGACGGGCGGCAGGTGCACTCCGGACAACGGGTTCGCTCACGTCTCTATCCACGCGCCGACCCACGCAGTAACACTGCTAGGACGCTCTGCCCCGGCGCCCGCCACCCGGGCCCGTTTATACTCCGAATGACGTTACGGAGACGCCCCGCCCAATCAGAAGGCCGCATCCGGGCTTTCCACCGCCCAGTGGCTGGAGACTCCTTAAAGCGACAGGGTGCAATTTACTCAGCGAGGAAAAGGGACCTAAAGCCGGCAAGGAGGAGCGTCCCCCTCTCCACGCTGAACTCTCGGGGTGGTCTCCTTTCTCTGAGTTCCGTCAATGCACCAGCGCAGGCCGGGGGGGAGGGCCGAGGGGGGGCTCAGGGCCCACCCACATGCTTGGAGGCCCCAGCGGGTCGTAGGCGGCAAGTTTCCCCTCGTACCGGGGAAGACCCGGGTCGAGCTGGCATACCCCGTGGGCACTGCTCCTGGCATCTACCAGGCGTCTAATAAATGTTTTCTGCATCAATAACGATGCAGCTTACTTCGTGCCAGGCACTGTTAAACAATTTCCTTTTATTAATACCTTTGCATTAATTCCTTTTGTTAACAGTGTTAATATACACTGAGTATATCTACTTTCTTCAGGGGGCAAAACCAAGGCAGAGTCACTCGTCCAATATTTGCTAAACGAATAAATGGGCTACTGCAGTGAAAGGGGGCCACTGGGACCTCCAGCTCTTCTGTCTCTAACGTACGTGTACGCCAGCCGTCCTCATTCCGAAATTGCCCACCCGGCGGGCAGCCCGGGCTACAGCTCTGAACCGAGCATCCCCCCAGTTTCCTGAGACAGGAGGCACGGGTGGGCTTGGCGCTTGCACGGCGGCAGACACAGCCGCATGACAGTCCCTGTGAACACGTGGCTTCCGCCCCCTAGACTACAGGGGCGGTGCTCCGCCTCCGCGCCCCGGGAGGCGGGTTCGAATCGGAGCTGGAAACTGAGCGCTGTAGAGAAAGAGCAGATAGAAAGCGTCGGCCCCATCCTCCACTAGGTGCGATCCCTCCAAGAAAACCTAAATCTAATCCCTCAAAAACAGGATGCAAAATTTGTTCGAATACATCCATTCATTCGTAGTGCGGGCCCTTTAAGAGGTGGCGCCCTTCCCCCTCCCCCGCCAGACGCGCCCGCAGAGCCTTCCCGCCACCTCGCGGGCAGACTTCCACGGCTAAATTTGGAAAGAGTGACGTAGGGCAGGCGCCAGAGCCGCTTCCGGCTGCCCATACAAGGGCAGGGGCCGGCACACAGCGCTGGCGGGATGCGGCAGACTTCCGGGGACGGGGCTTTGGCTCTGGATACGCCCCCACCCTCCCCGTCCCGGCCGTCCGGGTCCGGCTGGAGCCCCGGGCTTCCTGACCCGCTTCCAAACGGGCGGGTGGGAAGGGAGAGGAAGGTTTCACTTCCTTCCCTCCGGGGGCCAGGAAGGCGCGATGCCGAGAAAACACCCCGCAGCGGGTAGGGGCGACCTCAGGGCTCCCACTGACGCCATCTCTTCGACACCCTACGTAACCAGCCTGCCAACACGACAGGTGACCTGCTGGGGACACCTTCATCTCATCCCTCCCCCCCTCCCACGGAGACCCCAGATATTTTCCCCTACAAAGCCCCCTCCCAGATTATTCCTGCCCTCCCCGCAACCCCCATGCTTTGGAGCACCCCCACGTCCCGCACCGCCTCCGCACGTGAGGACTCAACAATTCTTCCCTCCTAAAAGACCCCCTCCAAAACCTGTCCCCATTCAGCGAGGCTGCCACACTGCGGCGACCTGCGGAGGACGCCCCCATCCCTGCCCCCCCGACCACCAGGGAGACACCACAATGACATCCCCGGGCCCCACACAGCCACAGCGACACGCACAGGGGCGACCCGCGGAGGGCGACCCCCCTGACATCCCGCCCACCATCCTCCAGGGAAGACCAGTTCCCCTACCTCCCGCTCAGACGACCACCCCAAAAAAGTGCTTTCCCGGAGACCTCACACAGGGCGCCTCTGTCACACAGGGGGTGACCCTAGGAGCCCCTGACCAGACATTTCTGGTCCCTCCCAGACGGAGATCCCACACGCACAGGACCGCCCTGGAGACCATCCTCAAAGCCACCAATACACCCCTTCCCTTAACCCCCTCCAAGCTCGCACTTACACTCTTCGCTTACGGAGAAACGTGTCTCCGAAACCCACCCCCACACATGCTCTGCAAGGTGATGCTCCCCCCATAGGCGTCTCTGGAGGCCCCATTCACGGCCACCCCACCCCAAGCACCCCAAGGCGACCTCCCACCCCCTTTGCAGGAAAAAGGAGGGAGTCTCAGAACTCCCCGCAGGAGAATTCCCGGTCTTCACTCCGCCCCTGCAGGGAGGAGGAAAAAACCACCTCTCCCCTCAACTCTTCCCAAACCTGCCATTCGGGACCCTAGGCTGGGACGATCTCCCAGGACGGGATCCCGGTGCCAGCCCAGGGAGTCTGTTAAAAGATTCAGCAATCGAAAGAGCCCCTCCCCCAGCCATAATCCCGTCTGAGTTAAGGGAGGCTATTATTATTTACATGACCCAGAAGGGAAACTGAGGTAGCGCAGCAACAATCCGAGGGGCTGGGTCTCGAACCGAGATTCCGAGCTCGGACCCAAACCCAGCCAGACAGAACTAGAACACTACCCCGGTCAGACACGCGAAGGCGGAGGGGTGGGGCATGCAGGCCGGAAGCCGCCTCTGCCCACAACCAAGATGGCCGCGGGAGGGCGGAAGTTTCTGCACTTCGGGCCTCTAAGGCCTCTCTTTCTCCCTTGGAGGCCCTGCTCTCGATGGTGGCGTGGCGGGGGCCGGGGAGGCGGCGCGTCCTACTCGGCTGGGAGGGAACCCGCTAGCAAACCCAAGCCGGGAGAAGGGTTCGGCGTGGGGGGAGGGGGGCGGTTGACATGTCTCTCGAAGACCCTTTTTTTGTAGTCCGAGGGTGAGTGACAGCGATGGGGGAAGGCGGAGGGTGCTCAATCCCCAAGCCAGCCAGTGGCTGGTTGCCGGCCAAAGCGTGCCAGGCAGGCTGGGCACGGCCGTTAGGGTGCACGGGTGGTCCGGGGGCTGAGTGGGAGGGGTACGCAAGGGGGATATAGGGGTCTCCTGAGCCCCCCATTAGTTTGGGGGCTCAGCAGGGGGCAAGGGCAGGCGGCAGGACCGTCTGTCCCCAACCGCGTCTGCTGTACCCCTGCCTGCAGCGAGGTGCAGAAGGCGGTGAACACGGCCCGCGGGCTGTACCAGCGCTGGTGCGAGCTGCTACAGGAGGGCGCGGCGGTGGGACGCGAGGAGCTGGACTGGACCACCAATGAGCTGCGGAATGGCCTGCGCAGCATTGAGTGGGACCTCGAGGACCTGGAAGAGACCATTGATATCCTGGAGCTTCTGGTGGGGGGGTGGCATGGGAGAGCCCATTGCAGAGCCAGCCCTTGGGGAGGCTGGACACTTGGAAGGGTAGAGGGAGGTGGGTATCTGGCTCTGGCTTTAACCCTTGACTCTTAGCCCACGGATAGTGGAATCCAGTCCAGGCAAGTTCAAGCTCCCAGCTGGGGACCTGCAGGAGAGAAAGGAGTTCGTGGAGCGGATGCGCGAGGCGGTCCAAGTGAGGAGACATCCTGTGGGGGTGACTGTGGGGAGGTTAAGGGTGTCTTTACTCCCTAATGCTGTCTTAACCCCCAGGAAATGAAGGACCATATGGTCAGCCCAGCAGCCGTAGCCTTCATGGAGAGGAATAACAGAGAGGTAAGGCACCTGCCCCGACATGCCCACCTGAGTCTGTCTGGGTGACCCACCCCTTTGAGCGCCAGCCTGATCCCTCTGTGTGTGTGTCCGCCTGTCCCTTCTGTGTTAGTGCCCATCTGCTCTGAGTGCAGTTGTCTTCTGGCTGTCTACCTACCTGCTCTTGCTCGGTGTGTACACCTGAGCCCTCTGTGTGTGTATATTTCCGTGGGTACCTCTCCACCTTCTCCTCCGGGTTTGTGCGGGTTTCCTTCTGGGGAGCGGAGGGCTGGGGGGCTGTATATCTTTCTCCTTTCTGCTTCTGTGCCATTTGCTCTGTGTGCGACTATTTCCAGGGTGTCTGCCTTTGTCTCTGTGCATGCACCTGACCTATCCAAGTGCGTGCACTTGGCCTCTGAGCGCACCTCTCTCCATCTGCCCTTGACATACCTACCAGTTCCTGTGTGAGTGTGCCTGCCCTGTGCACATGTGTGTGCATGCGCACGTTCTCCCTGCTGCTTGTCCATCTTTCTCATGTTGTGTGGCCATTCTTTGCTTATCAAAAACCACCAGCCTCTCTCCGTCCCCTCATAAGCCCCCGTGGGGTCTGGGAGCTGAGCCCCCCCCCACTAGTTTGGCATCCCATAGCAGTGCCCACGTGTCTTCCAGATGTGCCACCTTAGGGATTAAAGGCCAAACTCTAAAAGACATCTAATAATAAGTGTTCTATCACCTGAACACTTAGGTCAGGCTGAATGCTTTGCTGCTTTGCCTGCAGCCAGCCCGGGGAAGAGCCACTGGACTGAGGTCATGCACCTAGTAAGTGATGGAAACCGGATTCAGCCATCTGACTCTGTTATGAAATAATTTCTAAAAAAGAAAAACAATAAAAGGTGACATTTATTAGTACTTAGTATGTATTGGGCACTCTTCTAAGTGGATTAATTCATTAAATCCTCATTCCAACCCCAGGAAACAATGAATGCTCTCCCCGTTTTATAGATGAGGAAACTGAGGCACAGGGAGGTCAAGTGACATGGTCTTGGGGGAACCCAGGCCAGTCTGTCCCAGAGACTGCCTTCCTGACATCCACTGTGTGGCTGTGCCACACATGTGCCCTGCTGTGAGTGGGTGTCCCCCCCTGAGCCTGGTCTGTGTCTCTGCAGATGCTGGTGGCCAAGCCAGCCACCCAGAAGTCACCCAGTGACCTGCTGGATGCCAGCGTGGTCTCGGCCACCTCTCGCTACATCGAGGAGCAGCAGGCCACGCAGCAGGTGTGTGCGGGGGGCCGGGGGCCCTGAGATGGAAGAGCCGGCAGACCATGCTAGGGTCCCTGCCAACCGCACCTGCCGCCCCTCCGCTCTGCAGCTGATCGTGGACCAACAGGATCAACAGCTGGAGATGGTGTCTGGGAGCATCCGGGTTCTGAAACACATGTCCGGCCGCGTTGGGGAGGAACTGGACGAGCAGGGCATGTGAGGCCAGGCCCCTGGGGGTGGGCCAGGGGCACCCTGGTGTGCTTGGGCCCTTTGGGGGCTGATGCCATCCTGGTCTTTGCAGCATGCTGGATGCGTTTACTCACGAGATGGACCACACCCAGTCCCGGATGGATGGGGTCCTCAGGAAGATGGCCAAAGTGTCCCACATGACGAGTGGTGAGTCCCCTGGGCGGCAGTAGGTCCTGGTGTGGGCAGGTTGTGGGTAGTACCCTCTCCCCGTGTGACCTCTGACTCTCTTGTCCGCAGACCGCCGGCAGTGGTGTGCCATCGTAGTGCTGCTCGGGGTTCTTCTCGTGGTTTTAATCCTACTCTTCTCTCTCTAACCCCAGCCCTCCCTAGGGGGGCTGGTCCCTCATGCCTGGGGAGCCGCTAAACACTTTTGAGCTGGCCTTGTCCCCGGGGAGGAGAGGATCCCACCTGGGAGGCTGTCCCCAAGGCTGTCATCCAGAGCCAGCAGGACCCTCAGGGCCCTGGGCTGGACACCCTGCCCCTGGTCCTGTGTCAAGTGCGCTTAGGGGGTGGTGGAGGTAGGGAGACCTCAGACACACCCCTCCCCATTTCTATTTCCGGTGTCCCAAAGCCATTCGCTCCTGTGCCTTCTCCATGTGCCAATTTGGAAATAAAATCCCAGCCTTTTTTTGTACATATTTGTATCATATGGTGTGTTGACTACAAACTTGTGATGGAACCCTGATTGGACCTCCCATTCCAAGCCACTGTTTGCCTGAGCAAGAGCCCCAGGATGTGTGTGTGTTTTACGGATTTCAATGGTTGATATTTGGTGCAGAAGAGACTATTCTGGTTTATTTTTGGGTTTTAATAATGGATAATTCATTACTATTGAAACTTCCAAACCTTGACTTTCCTTGAGTTTCTGAAGTTCTTTCTGAGCAGCTGCTTATTCTATGCCTAAGGTAAATAAATCCCTTAGATGTGGAGCTTAACAGTCACTCCTGAGGGGCTTTTGAGTGACACTGGGTTCCACTGCAAACCTAGTTTACTGCGATTCCTGAGAAGCCATAGGGCCTTCCTGAGTACAAAGTGATTCCCATAAACGGAGGAAACCTGCAAGTAAGTGCTGTGCATCTGAGATTATTAGATGTTTCCAGCCCACGCGTTATGTAATCAGGCATCAAAACCAAGCATCTCCGTTGCTCATTTACACATTATAAAGTGCTGTTACAAGGATATCTTTCTATTAGCAAATTTGTCAAATCTTAAAAAGAAACATATGTACAGAGTCCTTTTTAACGGGCTAGGTTCTCTTAATCCTTTCTGTACTTAATTCTAAATCTTCCTTGGGTTAAAGGATGCACTTTTGGAGACAGGCGCTGTGGCACCTGCCCGTAGCTGCAGGTATTCAGGAGGCTGAGGTGAGGGGATCGCTCGAGTCTAGGAGTTCAAGGTTGCAGTGAGCTATGATCACACCATTGTAGTCCAGTCTGGGTGACACAGAGACACCTAGTTTCTTTAAAAAAAAAAAATTGCTGGGCATGGTGGCTCAAGTTTTTTTTCTTTCTTTTTTAAACCACAATTAAGAATAATAGATTGTTGTAAGAAACAAGCAAACACATCGATTTAAAAACGGGCAAAACTGGCTGGGCACGGTGGCAGGCGCCTGTAGTCCCAGCTACTCAGGAGGCTGAGGCAGGAGGATCATTTGAGCCCAAGAGTTTGAAGTTCAATGAGCTATGATCACACCACTGCACTCCAGCCTAGGTGACAGAGCAAGAACCTGTCTTTATAAAAAAATTATAAAAAGGCCGGGCGCGGTAGTTCACACCTGTAATCCTAGCACTCTGGGAGGCCGAGACGGGCGGATTGTTTGAGCTCAGGAGTTCGAGACCAGCCTGAGCAAGAGCGAGACCCCATCTCTACTAAAAATAGAAAGAAATTATCTCGACAACTAAAAATATATAGAAAAAACTAGCCGGGCATGGTGGCACATGCCTGTAGTCCCAGCTACTCGGGAGGCTGAGGCAGGAGGATCGCTTGAGCCCAGGAGTTTGAGGTTGCTGTGAGCTAGGCTGACGCCCGGCCAAGAGTGAGACTGTCTCAAAAAAATAAAAGGCGGGGCGGGGGTAGGGGGGAGATGCATTTCTGGAAGATGTGTGGTTTCTGCTTACCTGGGGTTGCCTACATGCTTAGAAAGGCAAGATATCCTGTTACTTGCAGTTACTTGTGACTAGAATCACCGATGGCTTTTTGTTGGGGATGCTGTTGGCTCTTAGAACCCCTACTTTTGGTTGGCCGGACCACTCCAAAGGGGGCTGGTCTTGCTGAAATATACCCCATCGCCTGTGAATTGAAGGATCACTCGGTCATCTTCCCCCAAATCATTGCAGTCAGATGCACTTGGCTTGGGCTGAGCAATGAAGGCTGCTTCTCCATCTCAGAGCAAAGATCTTTTAACCTAGTGGGATCCCCAAGGTTGGTGAATATCCTTCCCATGTTACTTTGAAAATCAGTCATGCTATTTATGAATCAATGGGGCTCTTTCACTTGAAGAGATCCCAAGGTTGGTAAATATATTTCCCATGTCACTTTGAACTAATCCCACGCTATCTTTGAATCTGTGGGGCCTCAGGGCACCTCATGTTTTTTCTTACTTGATGGAACCTTTTGTCCTTTCCAGGGGACAGGAGGGCAGCACGTGTGGGCCAGGGCCAGCCTGTCAGTGGGAACATGGTGCCCCTGCTGGGGTAGCTGGGTGGGTGCTGCAACTGAAAGAGTCAGGGGGCTCTAGGTGTCCCCCCCCGCGCCCCCCAACCCCCAGTGAGCAGCATGCGCAGGGCTGTTACAAAGGCGTTTAGTTTATTCTCATCAGTATCACTGATATCCTCTCGGTTCACATTTGCCAACACCGCTCCTCTCCTTACAGTAGTTAATGTGCAATCTCACTTGGGGGCCCGGGGAGGGGGCGGGGCTCGGCCCAGGGTAGGGAGGGCGTTGGCACTTCACGGGGACAGGGTGGGCGCCCGGCCCCCGTGAAAGAGGCGTGGGTGAGTGGGCGGCCAGGGAAGCGGAGTTGGAGGGGATGAGGAGAGGGCCCCACAGTCTTTTTTTGATGACTCCCCATTCCTGTTCCTTCCTGGCTGCCCAGGATGGGGGGACCATGCAGCTCAGAGCAGGGCAGGGCAGGAAGAGAAGGGAAAAGCAGCAGGCCGCCCAGGGCTGGGGGAATGGCAGGGCCAGGGGGTTGGGGGGCTCCTGGGGTAAGGCACAACCCTGTCTTTGGCTCTCCTGGTGAGGAGTTTCCTCCCCTGCACCCCCTGCCCAGCCCCTCCCCATCCCCCATCCCCTCCCCCCCAGACCCACACACACAGTCCCGGGAGCCAGGGGCACCTCCTGGGGTCCCTGAAACAAGTGGGCTCTGCCACCCAAGCCAGTGGTGCAGGGCCTCGGAGACAGGGGCAAGCCCCGCCCGAGGAAGAGGCAGGGAGGGGCCGGTGGGGGCCTGCCCAGGACAAGGGGATGGGGAGGGAGGAGACCCCTGGTCCCAGAGAGCTGCCCCCCAACTAAGGCCTGGAAGGAGGGGAGCACCTGGGAGCTCCTGCTTCCTTTTGGGGGCCTGGCTGGAGCCCCCTGCCTGCCCCTCAGCTCCCCACCGGGCCCTGCTGCTTGCCAAGTGACCAGGATATTGTGCTTTGGGATCAACGCTGGGGTGGGGCGTCAGGCCAGGAGGGCAGGGGAAGGGAGGGGCGACTAAGGTGCTTGTGCTTTAGCTGGGGGTGTCGACTCCCCCCCTAGACTCAGGCAGGCAGCTGGGGGCTAAGGTGCTGGGGCCGGGCCAGGACAGCAGAGTGCCAGGACCCCAGCCAGACCCCCACACCTCGGACTGACCCCCTGCAACAAGCAGATGTTAGGAAGGACCCCCTAGCAGGCTGGCGGGGCTGCTGGGTCAGGTGGATGGTCACCAAATCAGACTCAGAGGGTCATCTATGGCCATACCACCCTGAACATGCCCGATCTCGTCTGATCTCAGAAGCTAAGCAGGGTCAGGCCTGGTTAGTACGTGGATGGGAGACAGATTCAGAGGGTCCAGTTGGGGCCCTGCCTCTTTAGAGAGGCCACTGGGAGCAATGGGGAGGGAGACCAGAGGCAGGGCGGACAAGGCCCAGGGACACAACTGTGAGATGGCGAAATCACAACCCATGTGGGGTACGGGGAGTAGAAAAAGAAAAGAACCCTCCACAATCACATGTAAAACTAAAATAAAAATGAAAATACTCTCCAACCCATGGAGCAGCAAATATAAAAGAAAAAGAAATACTCACTCTGGGGGAGGAAAAAAAAAAAAAAGGAATGGTAAGAGAGAAAATTCTGGAAACAACTGCTAACAATGGAAGTGGGCCCAGCCCCGCCCAGCCCCCAGGAGCTGGGCTTAGCCAACTGGCCAAGGCCTGGGACACCCTTAAGCTGTAGCCCTGTGGCCCAGGACAAGAGACAGGGGAGGGAGAAGCTGGGCAGACCCACAGGAGCCCAGGTGGCAGCTGGGACTGGGGCCCCACCACAGAGGCACGCTCCCACACATGCGCACACATTCAGCCTGCCCCCGGCTCCCCACCCCAGCCTGCCTTCCATGGCCCCGGGCCGAGGGGGGACATCAGACACAGTCCCATTGGTTTTGAAAAATAAAAGGAATCTTATACTTCAATAGTTCATTCGCTAAAAAAAGGTTTTAAAAATTATGTACAGGGGGTGGGGGGCCTGGAGCCCTGCTGTGGGGCAGGGTGGGGTGGGGTGGGGGAAATGGAGGGAAGGGGCCCCCAACCTGCTCCCCTGGGTTCCAACCCTGGTCCTACTGCCTCTTAAATCTTCATTTGTCTGAAAGCAAAACTTCTATACACGCAAACGCACACATGCACACGCACACGCCCTGCCAGCCCTGCAAACCTCTCCTGGCCTCTGAGACCCTCTGTCTCCCCCCAACAGCCCCCCTCCCATAGGACTTGCCTCTCTAAGGCCCCAGGGGACCAACAGGGGCAACAGAGGCAGGGAGAGGAGAAAGGGCACTGGGCCCGCTGCCTTAGATTGGTTGTGCAATTTCTCTGAGCCTCAGTTTTCCCAGCTGTAGAACGGGCAATTCCCACAGCCTCGCCTACCCCAGCCCCCAGGCGCAGGGACAGACGAGGGTGACAGGAAGGCGCTTTTGGAGATGTGGAAGCACTGGGAGGTGGCAGGAGGGGTCCTGAGAACCCCTGGGGGCCCCCCTCAAGTCCCAAGGGGCTGCAGTGAGATTGGAAGCTGAGAAATGCTTCCACAGGGCTGCCTAGGGCCTGGGGAGGGGCCCTTCCTGAGCCCCCCAGGCCGGCCCCCTCCCCATGGCGGGCCTGGTGAGTAGGGAGTGATTGCAAGGGGTTAGGGGAGGAGGAGTCAGAGCTCAGGTGTGCACGAGTGTGTGTTAAAGGCGGCAGCACGAACCTGGCCACCTGCTCTGCCCTACAAGTCCTCTGTCCTCTCCTGGCCTGGCTCGTGTTGGGGGAAAGGGGTAGGAGAGGGGAGGCAGACGGGCTGGGAGCATGCAGCACCCCCCGTGGGTCCTGGGGAGGGACAGACAGTAGCTCGTGACCAAGATGGTGGGCAGGGGGGGTGTGACGGGAGGGGGAGTGTGCGGCCCCGTGGGGAGGGTCGGGGCGGGTTACTGCAGGCCCTCAGCTGAGGGGCCCGCCTCGCCCTCATGGCCGGCCGTCTCGAAGCCATGCTCCACGCCCATCATGTCCGGCTCTATCTTGCCCGTCTCGCTGATGAAGGCGGTGTAGGCGTCGCCCTCCGCCTTGAGCACCTTGAGCTTGGGCATCCAGCTCTTGCGCACGACGCGGCGGGCGTTGGTGCACATGTCGGCCGCGATGGCGTTCATCTCGCTCTCCTTGAAGTTGGGGGCGAAGTTCTGGCAGTAGTCTGTGCGGGCAGGGTGGGGCAGGCGGCTCAGGCGCAGCGTGGCCCTGATGTGTGTCAGGCTGAGCGACTCCCAGGAGGCCACCCCCCCCAGCATCTGGGACCCAGCTCCCCAAGAAGGGAGACAACTGGGGCCACATAGCCAGGACAGCAAACCACAAACCACATCTCCTGTCCCCAAATGCCTGAGTTTGGCCATGAGTAGGGATATGTGGGTCTTGATGGGGCAGCCTGCACTCTCAAAAACTTGGAATCATTTCTTAGAATTTAGTAACTTGGAGATTCCCTATGAAAATCTAGACTCGCCCCCTGACGGGTACCTGGCACCACCAGGTCTGGTGGCAGCCCCTTTTTTGGCAGGCTCTCCTGGCCACTTCATCCCTCTGGTGACCACCCTGAGTTTGAGACCCTTCTGCCTGACCTCCCATCACACCCCCGTCTCCCAAGCACAAAGAAACCTCTAACCAATCACAGCCCTCTTCCCAACAAGCCTAGACTGAGCCTCAGTATCCTTCTTAACACCAAACTCCACCCATCTATAACGGCCAACACTGGAGAAAATCCACAGTCTGCCCACCCCGCCCCCGCCCCCGCAACATGGACACTCACACTTGACGGCGTGGAGGACGCGACTGTCCAGCGGCTTGCGGCTGGGGTTGTTGCTGGAAGAGCGGATGCCAGTGCCGCAGCTATTGGCCAGTGTGTTCCTGGGGGCAGGGAGGTGGTCAGTGATGGTGGGAGCAGAGGGCAGGGGGCAACCCACTCCCCTTCCCTGGGGTGCTGGCGAGGGCCTCACCGGTCAAAGAAGGAGGCCAGGAGCCGCCGCAGCAGGACCTTGTGCCGCGTGCCTGCACTGACGTGGCAGTTCATGAGCTGGGCTCGTGTGATGTACACGTTGGTGCCTGGCGAGGGGAGGCGGAGGATGGCTCAGAGCGCTCCCAAGCCACCACAGCCCCCACGAGGCCAGGCCGTGGCCTGGGCCCAACCCCCTTCTCAGAACCCCCGAGACTCTCCCTGTTGGGCTCTGGGTCCCCACAACTTGCCCCAGGGACCTTCATCCTCTCCCTGAGGGCAGTTAGGTGAGGCTCCTAGGGACTCCCCCTGCCTTGGCAGCACTCAGGAAAGGACAGAAAAGGCGGTGTCACCATTCACTGGGCACATGCCTTGGGTGCCAGGTCCTGCTGTGAGCCTGGCACAACCACCTGTGTGTGACAGGCCCCCTGACCATGGCCAGCTACAGAGTACCGGGCAGAGGAGCCTCACACCTGGGCACTATGACCTCAGGGCCAATTTTTTTTTTTCCAGAGTCTCGCTCTGTTGCCCAGGCTAGAGTGCCACGGTGTCATCAAAGCTCACTGCAACCTTAAACTCCTGGGCTCAAGTGATCTCCCTGCCTCAGCCTCCCAAGTACCTGGGACTACAGGCGTGTGCCATGACACCCAGCTAATTTTTCTATTTGCAGTAGAGATGAGGTCTCACTGGTCTCAAACTCCTGGTCTCAAGCAATTCTCCCACCTCAGCCTCCCAAAGTGTGAGCCACCAGCCCCAGTCATCAGGGCTGAATTCCTTACAGCTATGGTAGTTAGCCCTCACCCCACCCTAGGAAGTAGCTAATCCACCTGCCTATGGCCAAACAATACTAGCCAACCCTTGAACCAGAAAGCTAGAGGCAAGTCTTTGCTGTGTCTCAACTCATCTAATGTTGCGGCCATCACAATACTGATGGGAAATCAGCTGCCACAGGACACTGGCCAGTGCTCCAGCCCCTAACCAGCCGCCCAGCCCAACCTGGAGGGCACTGAGGCCCCAGGTCGGGGAGGAGAGGGGAGAACTTGGGACGAAGCTGGCCAGCTCACCTGTCACCAGCTCCAGCTTCTCGGAGGGGTCCCCCTCATCGTAGAGCTTGGGGTGACAGCGGTTGCCGATCTGGTTGATGAGCTCAGTGGGGAGAGATGCCAGGTCCTGCCGCACCCGGATACGATTCCGGGACTCAGGGGCCACCTGCTCAGGCAGGGCCTCCACCTTCTCAGCTGCGAAGGAAGAGCAAGCAGCGTGCACGTGTTGGGAGGAGGGACGCCAGGCGGGGGGCCATGGGCGCGGGGAGCTGGGCTGTGCCTCACCTGTCTGGCCGACATTCATCATGCTGTACATGGTGTACATGTTGCAGATCTGCCGGTACTGCTCGTCTGTCCCCTCCTCGCCCCCGTCCTCCTCCTCGTCCTCCTCGTTGTGGTAGGAACCGGGGCTGTCACTGGTGTAGGCGCTCGAGGTGCCCGGGCTGGTCCGCTCCGATGTGCTGGGCCCGCTCACCACGGCCCCCGCTGCCCCACTGGCCGGCTGCCCAGCCCCGGCCCCAGCCCCAGCCCCAGCCCCGGCCCCTGCTGCTGCTGCCGCTGCCGCTGCCACCCCAGCAGGCTGGGCCGCTGCCACCACTGGGGCCTGCTGGTGCGGCCGGTTGGCAGCCAGGTCCGGCGTAGAGAACTTAGCCATCTTGCGGCTGCCATTGCCACTGCCCCCGGCCTCCTTCTGGCTGCTGTCCCACAGCCGCTTGGCCACGGGCGTGCACTGCACAGAGTCCGACTCCTGCTGCTCCGTCTTGACCCGAGACACGAGGGGCAGTGGGGTGCCGCAGGCTGGCCAGCCTGACGTCTGCGCCACAGGGCTCTGGGGCTCGGACCACGGGGCCTCCTCGGCGTGCAGGCCCTGGGAGTCGCAGCTCGGGGAGCTCACCTTGAGGAAGAACTCGGTGCCCTTCTCCATGATCTCCTGGATCTGTAGGAAGCCAGCCGTGTACATGAGCAGGAACTGGTCACCCACGTTCATGCTCAGCCGGCCCGTGTAGCAGAAGCTGAGGATCTGCTGGAAAGACTGGGGCTGCACGGCCGCCGGCAGCTCCACCACGGCGCTGCGGCTGCTGTTGAACAGGTCCCGGAAGTAGGAGCTGCTGGCGGCCAGCACCGCGCGGTGGGCCTTGAAGGCATGGCCCTTGACCACCACGGACACGTCACAGTAAAGGCCCTGTAGCCGCTGCTCGTTGAGGCACTCGAGGATACTGTTGCCAAAGTTCGGGATCTCCATCTGCAAGGTCTGTGCCATGGCGGCGGCTGCACGGGGGACAGGGAGAGACGGAGGGACGGGGTCAGGTGGCAAACGCTGGGGCTGGCCTGGCCCTGCCCTCACAGACCTCCCCTGCTGCAGAGACATTTGCCGTGGCTGTAAGAATCACATGGAGCCCCTCTAACCCCTTCCATCCCAGTAGAGACCCGTTTTTATGAGACACTGTCAAATCAGCTAAGCCAGCTATAGACCAGGGCAGCCACATGCTGTCCCTTGCACATAGGCGGGCAAAGGCACACGTACCCATGAGCAATTGCACATTAAATGAGTTTGCCTAAGAGCTCAGAGGGTGGCTAGGATGGATGCAGTAAGTGCCCACGAGCGCAAACTATCACCAGCACCGTGTGCACAGGGTACCTTTGCAGGGCGCTGGTGTGCAAATGCCAAGAAGGCAGAGTCACCTGATTATGTAACAGAGTTCACAGTGCTGAGCACGTGAGCCTCAATCACCGTTTGCCGAACGACTGAATGACCGCTCAAGAAATTACCTGAAAACATCACTAGTCACCAGGGAAATGCAAATCCAAACCACAACGAGATACCATCTCATGCCCACTAGGCTGGCTAGAATCAAAAAGTTGATGAGGACGAGAAATCGGAATCCTCATTCGCTGCTTGTAGGAGTGCAGAATGGTGCGGCCACCTTGGAAAAGTCTGACGGTTCCTCAAATGGTTAAACACAGTTACCACACGACCCAGCAATTCCACTCCTAGGATTTATGCCCAAGGGAAACGAAAACATTTGTCCACATAAAAACTTGCACGCAAATGTTCACAGCAGCACTATTCACAATAGCTCAGAGGTGGAAACCGTCCAAAAGTTCCATCCACGGATGAATGGATAAACAAAATGTGGTAAATCCATACAATGGAATATTATTCAGCCATAAAAGGAAGGAAATTCTGACACATGCTACAACATGGATGTCCCTGGAAAACACTACACGACGTGAAAGCAGCCAGACAAAAGGACCATGTAGTGTATGGCCCCATTTATGTGAAATGTCCAGAACAGGCAAATCCATACAGACAGGAAGCAGATGAATGGTTGTCAGGGGCTGGGGGGAGGGGGAAATGGGGGCAGGGGTCAGGGAAAGCAAAGTTATGTGGGGTTTATTCTTACAATAATGCAAAATCTTCTAAAACTGACCATCACGATGGGTGCACAACTCTGTGGATATACTACCACCCACTGGAAATGGGTGAAGTGGGTGCTGTGTGCATCTCAATAAAGCCATGAAAGAAAGGGAGGGAGGGAGGGAAGGAGACTGGTTTCCTCTGGGCAGAATCAGGGATGAGACTTACAAAGTACAGTTAGCACACTTTTTAGGTCTTTTCAATTTTGAACCTGGTGAACAAATTGTCTACGTGCAAAAATAAGTATAATTTAAAAAGAAAATGTGGGAGGCTGGGTGCAGTGGCCTGTAATCCCAGCACTTTGGGAGGCCAAGGTGGGAGGATCGCTTGAGGCCAGGAGCTCAAGACCAGCCTGGGCATTATAAGACCCCATCCCTACAAAAATTAAAAAAACAGCCGGGCATGGTGGCAGCATGCACTTGTAGTCCCGGCTATTCAGGAGGCTGCAGCAGGAGGATTGCTTGAGCCCAGGAGTTTGAGGTTGCAGTGAGTTATGATGAAGCCACTAGCCCGGGCAAAAAAGTGAGACCCTGTCTCAAAAAAGAATAAAAAAAATGAAACCATACCATATATACTTAATTTGTGCAAATTAACCCAAACATGCTTCGGGGGAAGGGGAGGAAGAATTAAGCTGTTCAGGGAGCCACCCCTGCCCTGACTGGTGAGGGGACCAGCTGGGGGAGAGAGGCCGGGCAACTGTGTGTGTGAACTTACACATAAGAGCCCGGGCTGCCTCCTCCGGCAGGAAGAACTGGCCAGGCAGGCAGATGGGAAGGCTGTGTCCACACTCTGGGACAGTGAAGGGCTCTGAGGGAAGGTGTGGCCTTATACATTCTGCCACTGGTACAAGTGAGTCCTCCTGCAATGCTATAGATTCTTTGGCGGGCAGTGGGCAGGGGAGAAGGCTTCCCTAAGTGAGAAAGCTCTGAGCAGAGACTCCAGCTGGAGAAAGATGTTAACAAGTATGTGCAAAGGCCCTGGGGCAAGAATGAACCTCGACTTTTTTTCCTTCCCTCCCAGTTAGTTTTCACACATCTTTTCCGTTTTCTCATTCATTAGCAATCGCATTCAGAGCTGCTGCTGTGGTCTGGGCACTGGGAAAAGATAACAGTGAAGACTTGGCCCCTACCTGGTAATGGGCTGCTTGGGGGAACAGAAGTGGCATGTGCCCAAGGGCTCAGAGGTACCTCTGGGGCCAGGTTGAGTCCTGGCTCCAGCACTGACCTGATCCTAGGACCAAAAGCTCCAAGTCTCTGCTTTCTCCATGTTGACATCAAGGACTGACCCTGCAAACTCAACCCATACTTACAGAGCTGCCACTACTGTACGTGCTAGGCACTCTGGCAGACCAGGAGCGAGCTGCGGGCCCTGCCCCTCCCAGCACCCAGGCTAAGGGAGGAGCCAACACGCCACCCCCACGAGCTCCTGGAATCCTCTTAGCAGGACTTTGGGGCTGGTTTCACACTCCCAATTCCCAGCTGGGAATACTGAAGCCACGTGGAAGTTAAGGACTGTCCTGAGGTCATATGTAAATGGTGGGGGCAAGATTTAAACCAGAGTCTGTCTGGGCACCGCAGCCCATGATTTTCCTCAGCTGTATCCTCCCTCCTCTTCCTCCTACTCAAAATCATTGTCTCAGACACACACACACACACACACACACACACACACACACACGAATGACTAAGGCTAATCAGAGAGAGGCGGCAGAATCTGGAATCCTCAGGCACACGGCAGCACAAATCTCCTCCCAGGAGCGCAGCCCCAGAGCTGTATAGGCCAGGAGTTGGCCCTCTAGGAGAGGCAGGAGAAACAGAGGCATCACATAGTGGCCAAAGGACAGAGCCCAGAAAACCCACTTCAGGGCGCTGGCACCTCCCTGGGCTGCCAAATTGAAGCCGCCCCCCACCCCCCATACTGGGGCCCAAATGGGAAGGACCAAGACAGTCAAGGGAAGAGGATGCCACCCAGTTTCTGGAGGGGTGCTCCAGGCTCACCCCCCAGGGTAGGACCAAGATAAGATAGGTGTGTAGTGTAGCCAAAGCCCCTCACCTCTCTGTGCCTCAGTTTGCTCATCTGTAAAATGGGGACTGATCCATCCAACCCACCCTGATGGACTACATCCTCCTCCGTGCCAAGGTGCTGGGGACACAGCCCTGAACAGGATTGGCTATGCCTAGCCAGGGTTGTCTAGTGGGGAAACACAGGGAATGATTTAGATACAGTTGGGCTAGTGTGTCACAGAGTGGCTGATCTTGGTGGCAGGGACCACTAAAGGATGAATAGGAGCTGGGGAGATGACAGAACACCTCTGGGCAGGAAAGTGTCATCTGGGGACCCAAAGGAGGCCAGTGTGGGGGTGTGTGGCTACTGGGGAGGGTGTGTGACAGGCAGAGCCCTGGCCTGGGGAGCAGGGACATCTCTTTGGGAAGGAGCAGCAAGAAGTTTGGAGTTAGCTGGGGTCAGGGCAGCATTTTACAAGCTGTATGTAGAGTTATCCATCCGAAGGGACTGCCAACTCCATGAGGGTAGCCATCCTGGCCGGTTTTGCTCAAGATTAATTCCTTAGAAGTAGATGCTCAGCAAATATTTGTAAATATTAGTGTTAAAGAACAATGCAGAGAGAGAGACAGAGAGACAGACAGACAGGAAGCACAAGGTAGGGGTAACCGACTTGAGTTTGGGACATGGCAGCTGTCAGGGGGTGGGGGTGAGGGCAGAGGTTGTGTGTGGGGACGCAGACACTTCCAGGGCTACAGAGGGCATTCCCAGGGATCCCACTAACTTCGCTTGCTGTGCCGGGTACTGCCGCAGACATTCTCTGCAGGTTACCTAAGCCCTTGAGGCAGCCTTCAAATTGGATGCTAGGACTGTCCCGCCATGGGAAGGGGACCACAGTGCCACCTTGTCCAGTCCCAGGAGGCCAGACACCTCCCTCGGGGAGGTGCAAGGCACACAGGCAGCACTCAGCAATGGAGACTGTGAGGTTCTGGAGACAACAGGAGGCGACAGAGACACGTGTGTGGAGCCCAGGCCCCCTCCTGAAGTCAAGAATCAACCTGATGCTCAGGCTGGGGTCCCCTACGCACCTCAGCTTCAGAGCCCGGCACCCAGGGCTTTGGAGCTTTTGATTAGCCATCAGTAGGTGGTAGGAACAATTGGTACAAATGCCTCAGCCAGTCTGTGCACAGGACCCCCACCCCTCCACATTGCTGGGGACCCAGGAGCAAGGTAGTGGGTTTGTGAGCTGCAGAGACCTGAATGCTGTTTCGCGTTGTTCCTGCACGGCCTCACTGGCCCTGCAAGGATTTAAGGTGTGAGGCGGAGTGCGGCTGTGGACAGACCTGGGACTGCAGCCAGGGGCCGGGCAGACCACCCCAGAGTACCCTTCCATCCCTCGGGACTGCCCCAATCCTGTCCAGACTCAGGAGAACAACTGCCTCGGGCCCTGCGAAGAGCCTCTCACCCGTGCCAGCCCCAGCAGGGACCAGCTATGACTGGGCTCCCAGGAGAAACAGGTCTCAAGCAGCAGGCACCTGGCTGGGTCACCTGCTGGCTGGGGCAGGGGTGGGATGGAGTTCAGTGTCAAGGCCTCTAAACCACCTAACGATTCCATCCCCAACAAGCTGAGCTCCTGGAGCAGGCGACTGCTCCCCACCCTACCTGGTGAAATGTACCCCTCAGTCTGGCACCCCCTCCGCCAAGACCAGGCCTTTGCCCAAGCTGTCACCCTGCCCGGAGTGGCCTCCTCCGCCACCCTCAGTGACCCCCTGCTCTGAGAATTCTCCAAGTTGGAGAAGACACCCCTCTCCTGCACCCCGCCCTGGCCACAGTGCCCTATGCTTACCTC